AAACTCTAGCAAACGAACTATACGATCTTGTGCTATGTTTAGGATTGGGTCTTGTCCATCACATCATTCTCCTAATGATGTGATCTCGTTACCAATGACATCCAATGTCCATAGTCAGGAAACCATGACTATTTGTTGATCAACGAGCTAGTCAACTAGAGGCTTACTAGGGACATGTTCGTGTCTATGTATTCACACATGTATTACGATTTCTGGATAACACAATTATGGCATGAATAAATGACAATTATCATGAACAAGGAAATATAATAATAATCCTTTTATTATTGCCTCTAGGGCATATTTCCAACACCAACAATTTCCCGTGAGGCTTGGGATGCCCCGTCTGATGTCCTGTTCCATAAGCTACCTTCATGCATGCACTAGGTTCTTTCATGCATGCTTAGGTGTTGGAGTAAGAGATTGTTCTCGTCGGCAAAGATCCGGCTTCACATGGCGCTGCAGGTCATCCTTCGTCTCGACATCGCTCAGGATAACCGGCCTCTCTCGCCCGAGGAGGCCATCTGCGAGCTAGGCTCAAGAGGCGTGTTATCGGTCTGGCCATCATAGTCCGGACTAGGAAAAAGCAATGTGCCCGGGCCAAAAACCTCAAGGAAGGGGATGCCAACATTAGGTTCTTTCACCTAAGGGTGAATGTGAGAAGAAGGACAAAAATTATCCACCGACTGAAGCTCACACGACGAAAAGAAAAAGGCGGCAAACGATCATTTCAAGAAAAATTTCCACAAAGCACAGAGGCGGACTAAGGACTTCAACTGGGAGGCCCTTCACTTTGAGAACGGAGAATTATCTGGCCTTGGCGACAATATCAGTGAAGCCGAGGTGCTTGCCACCATTACCCAACTGCCCGGGGACAAGGCCCCTGGCCCCGACGGTTTCACCGGATCCTTCTTCAAATCTTGTTGGGAATTCACAAAAGGGGACATGATGAACGCGATAAATTCCTTCTCAAACTTACAAACGGCAAACTTACATTGGCTCAACTCGGTGAATATAGTGTTACTAACCAAGAAGGATGGCGTGGAAGATATTACAGACTTCCGCCCGATCAGCTTGATCCACTTTTTTGCAAAAATCACCGCGAAGATCATGGCTAATAGACTAGCTCCATTCATGAATAAACTGGTTTCTAGATCCCAAAGTGCTTTTATCAAGACTAGAAGCATACACGACAACATTATGTTTGTCAAAGGCTTCACCACGCGCTTGCATCAAAATAGAACACTAACTCTTGTCCTCAAGCTAGATATCAAAAAGGTTTCAACTCGATTCGTTGGGACTACATGCTCGACTCGCTGCAGCGTCGCGACTTCCCTGCTGAATTTAGAAACTGGATTTCCGCTCTATGGGTCTCATCCTCTTCGAGGGTGCTTCTCAATGGCATGCCCCGGGATCCAATTAAACTTGGGCAGGGGTTGCGGCAGGGGCGATCTGCTATCCCCCTTACTCTTCGTCATCGCCATTGATCCCCTATAACAACCCCTAATTAAAGCCACGGATCATGGCCTCCTCCATTGTCTGAGGGGTCGTACAACGACTATCTACACTTCTTTGTATGTCAGGGACGCCGAGATTTTTGTTGCTCCGATCAAGGAGGATATTGACCACCTATCAGCCGTTTTGACTGCTTCTGGAGAACTGACGGTCTTGATCACCAATCCGCTAAAAAGCATGGTTGCCCTCATTCGTTGTCGCTACCTTGACCTCGACGCGATCCTGCACAGCTTTCCGACAAAATGGATCAGCTTACCAATGTAGTACCTAGGGCTATCGGTATCCACTCATTGTCTCAAGAAGTCAGATTGTCAATTCCTGGTGGATAAGGCGGCGGCCAAGCTTCCGCCATGGCAAGGAAAAAACGTCAACACGCTTGGTTGTGCCGCTCTCGTCAAATCAGTGTTGACATCCCTGGTTATCTATCACATTACAACACTAGATATACCCCCGAGGACCAAAGCAAGCATCACCAAGATTCAACGTGCCTTCCTGTGGGCAAGAACCGAGCAGGTCTCTGGGAAAATGCAAAGTAAACTGGAAGACGGTCTGTCGACCTACCAACCTCAGCAGTCTGACATTCTGGACCTCGACAAGTTTGCTAGAGTTCTTAGACTTCGGTGGTTGTGGTTTGCCTGGGTGGACCCAGGGAGGGCTTGGGTCAGTTTAGAAACCCCTTGTGACAATGAAGACGTGGAGCTTTTCTATGCGGCAACAACTATCAGCATTGGCAACAGATTGACGGCTAGCTTTTGGCACTCGCCATGGCTAAATGGACAAAAGCCTAAGGACATCGCTCTGGGCATCTTCACTCTCTCTAAGCGCACCGCTTATTGCATTGACAAGGCTTAAATAACAACGAGTGGGCCCGACACATCAACATGCAGGGCAACCTTTCGGTGACCCTCATCCAGCAACTCTATTCTCTTTGGTGCAAGTCCCGGGAGGTTCAGCTCGTCCCAAGCGAGCGAGATGGGATTCGATAAAAATTCACAGCGGATGCCTGCTACTCCGCATCCACCGCTTGCAGAATGCAGTTTGCCCGATTGATCAAGTCAGAAATGCCTATGATGGTCTGGAAAATTTGGGCCCCTCCGAAGATTAAATTGTTCTCCCGGCTGATACTGCAGGATAGAGTGTGAACGGCGGACAGACTGCTTGGTAGGGGTTGGCCAAACTGTGGCCTTTGTCAGCTATGCAAGAGGGTACCGGAATCTGTGGCCCACATAATGTTCAAATGTTGATTCACGATAAGGGTCTGGAACTCCATCGACAATGGTTGGGTTGGCAATCGGTCACACCTATATGGAGCGACATTAACACGGTCAAACAATGGTGGAATGCGGCGAATGGACAACCAGATACTCAAGGTAGGCGGTATACTAATTGCAAATGCTTGTATGCTGGGAGATCTGGAATGAAAGAAATGTTCGAGTCTTCCATAACAAGGCATCGTTACCCACTCGCGTAGTGGCGAAGGTTAGGGAAGAAGCAAAAACTTAAGCAGTGGCATGGGCTAGATTTCTGGGCAACATTTTACCCAGAGTGCTTCGCTGTTGAACTTGTCATATACTCCTTCCGTTCCAAAATAGATGACTCAATTTTGTACTAACTTTATACTAAAGTTAGTATAAAGTTGAGTCATCTATTTTGGAACGGAGCGAGTAATCGTTAAAAAAATATTTAATGAGATGAGGCAAAAAAAATTGCCTCCGTTTAAAAAAACGAAATTGCTATGCGGACGATTTCAGTCTGCACGACGGCTAGACGACGCCATATCCAGCCGTCCAATGCACTTTGATGACATGAATGGACGAAGTGGCATGCCCTGTCGTCCAGAATTCGTCCACACACGTCGTGTGTAGCAGCGCTCAAAAAAAAACTTGTGCAATGTAAACACCCCGGAGCCAACGGTGACGTCACTGACCTTTACAAATTGCGTTCGGTTTCGGAGTATTAGTCAAAGCGCACTAGCACGGCGCCCAGCGTTATCCCCATCGTCGCAGCTGGGGCTCTATATATACCCACCCTCCTGCCAGATTGTAAAGGTCGTGAAACAGAGCAAGCAAGAGCAAAGTCCAAGAGCAAGAATATATCCATCCATACAGCAGCCCAGCAAGAATATATCCTTTCCTTTCTCCTAGAGGTCCTTCCGTTGCGTTCCAGAAACCAGAAACCAGAAACTTGCAAGCATGGGCAGATCTGCTGGAGCTCCTCGGGTCCTCCCGGCGCACCAGGAAGACGAGGACCTGTTCGAGACCTCCTCCTCCTTCTCCTGCGACTCCGACGACGAGGCCCAGTTTTCAGACGGCGAGGACCAGTTTGTGCCGGCGGCGCAGCCGGTGCGGAGGTTGAATTCCGACGGCGTCTACGATCTGTCGTCCATGAAGGCTGAGCTCTCTGCCAAGTAAGTCTCCGAGGAACTTAGTAGCCTCCTTGACAAGTTCATCAACATATATACTGTATGTATGTATGTGCAGCAGCCAGCAGCAAAAGGGAGGTTTCCTGACCGTGATGTTCTTCTCTTTGCAGGAAAGGGCTGTCAAAATACTACGACGGGAAGTCCCAGTCGTTCGCGTGCATGTCCGAGGTGAGGTGCCTGGAGGATCTGCCCAAGAAGAGTCCCTACAAGAAGATCAAGCCGTGCAGGAGCAACATCGATCTAGATGGGAACCAGACAGCTTGCCCCGTACCTGCTCCCAACACCAGCAGCAAGGGAATCGCCAAGCAGAGCTCCTGCGCGAATCTGATGATGGCGCGGACCAGCAGCGCCAACATGCTCTACAGGCCTCCGGCGATCCCTGTCAACAAGAGCGCGTGCCATCAGTAGGGCTCGCAGCTGAAAAAAATGTCTGTCCATGGCTGGCCTCGCGTCCCTTCTTTGTTCCTTGATGAGGATTTTTCTTGGCGGGAGTATTAGCTTGTCAAATGTACTAAGAGGCTTTTACTTCTCTCATGTTCTTCAGGAAGACATATTGTTCAGGAAGGCATTGATTGATTCGGTGTGTAAATAGAGACCGGTTGTATACCAAACATTTTCTTTCGATTAACAAAGATTATCTAAGATCCGAATTCTGAGCCATGGTACATGGCCTTTGACCATCCTGGTTATTTCTCAACATAACAAGGAGTACAAAGTAGCATGGCCAAAACAGAGAGCGGTCCTTTGGGTATCAGAGATGGAAGAATGTTTTACTCCCGCCGATCCAGTACTAAAGTTGTACTAAGTGAGCAACAAGTAATATGGATCATAGGGAATACAACTACAAATATTTCCCAGTGGAAAAAAGAATGGTGTGTCTTCACTGATTGCCAACCAAAAAATAGCTCTGCCTGATGCTTCAAGTGTTAAAACTCTTGGCGGGTGCTGTGAACACAACCCTGAATCATCTTGGTGATAGATGTTTGAACAAAACTTGTTATTTGGCAACAACACTGTGGGAAGACAATCCTGTCCCAGTGCGCCTTAGTAGTGTCAGTGGCTGTTAGAAAGCGTAGTCATAGATGGCCTGTGCAACTCCATCTTCGTCGTTGGTGGCACCGATTACATTTGCCACTGCTTTGGTCTTCTCGGCGCCGTTTGCCAGAGCGACACCCAGTGATGCTAGCTGTAGCATTTCTATGTCATTTTCTCCATCTCCAATTGCCATTACCTTGCAGAAAAAGGTTACAAAGTTAGAAATAATGCAAGTACCGGTAGTATTGGCGGCCAAACAAATTTTAAAATTTCAAGGATTCAACGGAAGCTTAGGGTATTATCTATTTGAAATGAGATTATAAATTTTGGCCATGTTATTTAGAACAAAGGAAATTATCAAGACTAGATTTGTAACTGAAGGAAGTGAGAGAAGAAAATGCAGCAACATTTGACTTGCACCATGGAAGATGTATAGGGGAACTTAGACAACTTATACCTCGTCCGGACTAATGCAGAGATGGTCCAGCAAAATCTTCACCCCGGTGCCCTTCGAAGTTGCAGGTGGTACAAGCTCAAGCATATCAGGCTGTGCCTGAAGAACACCAGCCCTTTCTTCTATTGCCTTTGTCCAGTATGGCCTCAATGTGGAAGAAACTCCCTCAGAAGTTCCAATGAACACTAGTTTCTGGACATGAAAATTATGGCATAGTCAAGCTATAACAGATCTTAACGTTCTCAAACTGCCAAATCTTTTCTTCTTTAAAGATCCAAATATTTTTATAAACTGATGACTATGTCCATATATAAATGCAGATGCAATAAAAAACAGCAGCTTATTTGTTCCACCCATAGAAGTTGTGCGCGCTAAAAAAATAGTTGATCTTTGACGAACTATTAAATCTTTGGTCGGCCACATGGACTTATTCATATTATACAAATGTTTATCAGAATGTGATTAAGAAAATGTCACTAATCCTTATGCTATAAGGTTTGAAGTGAAGGAACTAGTAAAATGATTCATACAGAACTGATCTCAGACTTGTAATTGACACAAAAAATAGCTTTGAAAATAAGTACAGCACCTGTATCTCAGCTGTTCCTAAAAGCTGATCAATAGATGACACTATTTCAGCCTGCAAGAAGAATCCCATGTAAATCAATAAGAATAGAAACATTTGGGATTCACAAAAGAATGGATAAGTAAACCCCATCATACCTTAGGTTCATGGTACACATCATGGAGAGAATCAACCAATGGATGCTCAAACATAGAAAAACACCGATCCTGGCTAAATGCTACTAATGGTATCTTGTGCTCCAAAGAATATAAGAATGCCTGCAGCATGCAAATAAAGTGTCACTAATGTTGCAGATGTAGAAGTATTTACTGGGGAGATAGTTACCAGATGGGCATGGATGACCTCCAACCATAGTAAAACACAAGTTGTTGCTTACCTCTCGGCATACTTCTTGGTTCAATGTATTTCTATAAATTTCTCTCCCTTTCAAACCATAAACCAACAGCCCCTACAATTGAAGATTCGAATTTATGAAAATGGCGACAACGCTCATGGGAATAATCAATTTTGCTCTTATTTATAGATGAGAACAATGGTTTATATTTCTGAAACAGCATACTACAATAGAACAATCCTAACTCATTTTAAAACAAATGAATCACAACTCGCTTTAATATACAGCATGTGAGGTAGCATCAAGTTTAGACTAGCATATTACAGAAGTGAGTACAAGCACAGAACCTCATGGTCTCATCAAATGACGTCATCAGCTTTTCATGGTCATATTTGTGCAAGCTTCTAATAAACATGTTTTGAACAGGCTATCAACAGGGATATCGACAGCACACTTCCTATTCTAGGAACACATACATAGCCAGTTTTTGAACACAGGGAGATAAGAATGGTTGGCCTATTCAGAACCAAGTTCGACACCATAAGCGGTACATGAGCCAAAAAGGTAATTTATAACAAAGGGTACTTTCATCTTTGCTGGCTGGTTATGTCACTCTAATAAAGATTAGATGGGTATTTTGACTTCACTAACAAACACTAAAGACTCGAGCTTATATCCATACACATCATCCAAAATAATGACCTGTCTCTGTTGACCACTGCGCGAGGTCTAGCCAGAAGCTGGAGCCTTGACAGGTTCGCGAATCTCAAAATTTCACAGGCCTCAAATGTGGGTTTTGAGTAACTCGCATGACGTCAAATCGACTGTAGTTCCCTTTTTATTATTGAAGGTCTAAGTTCTAATTGCCACCATTGATCTAGACCTATTGTAATGATCTAATATGGAGTAGCAGAATATGTTTTTAAAGGAACTTCAAGTATGCTTTATTCCAAGCAGATTTGGTTAGGGTGTCAATTTGGTTATGTGTCAAGTAGAATGCATTCTACAGAACATACATGAGAACATACAAATATGCACCTCCATTGGCATATATCTCTAACCTAGCAGAATGCTAGCATGTGAACATGATCAGGATGAGTAAAGATGCTGCATTTTCACTACTGCGTCAAGACAATTTCTTTCTTACAAGAGTATTTTCCATGAAAACATACTTTCCACCTACCTGAAGAAATATACCAGGCGAAGATTCTGAAACAATGCCATTTCTTCCAGATAAATCAACCATATTAAGAGCATCAATGGCAGCTGGGCGCGTCTGTTTCCAAAGTGAGCATGGATAGAAAACAATTATCAGCATTCCGAGTTTCTGATAAATATCACAATACCAAACGGAAATAATAAGTAACATAAGAGCAAACTTCTGAGCTCCGTTAATTCCATTCAAGACCACAGAAACAATGTAAATGAGAAGATTCATCCAAACACCAAGGGTCAGTCCAGATGGGCAGCTTTTCGTAAATTTCTTAGTTAAGATTTAGATGTTTTTGTCTCGGTCCAGAAAAAAGATGTGGTACCAGTGGAAACAGCGGGCCCTGAGAGCATTAAAAATAGATTATGCAATGTTCATGGTGATTTTTTTTACTTGACAGTCTAATAAATGAGGCAGCTGGTGTGTCATGGGGAAGAGGCCCTTGTGTCCCCAGCAAGTGGCCAATGTTCCTACATAGCTGCTTGTCTAGCAACTGACTTATTCAATGACCTGCCTGATACAGTACAGTGACCTGTCTGCTCCTGCAAGACTCATTGACTCCATTCTCCGATGAGCTTCTTTCAAGCTCTGGAGAATCTGTTCTACAGTTACCCACTTCTGGGGCAATCCCATCTTGTAAAAACCTTTTTTTCTGTGAGATAACTTCTCACAATGTTTAAGTGTTCAATGCAATGTCACTAATAAGCTTATCAAAACAAAAATGCTGAAATGGGATTTGAAACAAGGGTGAAACATTTGACTGAAAGATTTAGTGGGATAGTAAACTTCATCACTGGTACATTTCTGGTTCAGAAAAATATAAAAGATACCCAAACTGGGCCTCAGCTAAGAGAGGGCCTCAGTATCTCCAATCTCTAGAAAGATCAATCAAATTTAGCATCTTGATAATCTAACATGTACCGAGACAATCTATTGGCTTAAATGGTACTCCCTCCGTCCCATAATATAAGACGTTTTTGCAAGCTAACATAGCTTGCAAAAACGTCTTATATTATGGGACTGAGGGAGTATATAATACTATTTCTCTTCTAGGAACAATTAGTCATTGGTCAAACAGCAAGGGAAAACTCTTAATACCTTTCCTGTGGCAATAACTATGTTTACACCTCTTGACCTAGCTTCCTTTAGAGCTTCTGCATTCCTTGCTGTTACTTGACTTTTACTGTTGAGCAATGTACCTAGTCACAGAAAAGAACATAATCAAAAACCATGTAAATATAATTATATTCTAGAGTGAAAATATCAAATGTGAGCAACCAGCAAGGGATAAGGGATGTACCATCCATATCACAGAAGATATATTTGAACTTTGGTCTATAAAATCTTAGGCTGCCAGCTCTCTTTAGACTGTTTGTTACTTGTCCTGTAAACATTCTTAGACAGCAATAACTAGATTACACCATCATATGAGTGATATGCATTTCAAGACACAGAAGGCAAGGAGAGTAATTACAGAGAGGCCAAAAAAACATACCATCTAATGTTTCTGTGTTAGGCTTGCTCAAATCAGGAGCGTTCTTAGCAAGACCTTTCCCTTTCCACCTTAGACTTTTTAAAATGAGCAGCTCCTCCTTCTCCATTTCCATTGCAGCCTCATCACTAATCTGACGGTCAAAACCCAGAAGACGTAACAGGCCACGAACCTAGTACAGAATACAAGGAAATAATCATTTTGTGCGTAATAAATAACATCCCGTGCAGCAATTAACATAAACCACTCCAAAGTTCAAACAGGGGGGCAGGGGCAATTAGTCGTAAACAACCGTAAAGGATCATACCACTAGTGTCCGCAGTTCATCAAGAAGGGTATGGCCTCTCGCCTCAGCTTGCCTTGCAGCTGTTTCCACGGATATTACTATATCACCCAACATAAGCTGCAATAAGAAAACAGTGAGAGAGAGTGAGGCAAGGCTAAAGGTAAAGACAGAAAGAAAATAAATAAAATGCTGATTCGGTCTTACAGTAGGAACATCCAGATCGGGAATGAACTGTGACACTGAGAGCATATCAGTAGCGCAGTCCTTGCCTCTCCATTCTTTGTTAAGATTCTGGATGAAGTTATCGTTGCATAGCAACACAGAAACCTCAACCTTTTCATACTTCCCGACGTCACTTATTGAAGTGTCTCGTGTTTTGTAGTTATACTCCAGAAGTCCATCTAGTGCAATTTTCATCGCCATAGGAACATTTAATTTCATGATTTCTATAACGTTCTGCATACACATTAAGGAAAACAAAGATCAACAAACACTAACCCAACCAATTGCAAACGTGAACAGCTGAACATAATAAATCACCGTGAGGGACATAAACTATCGCGAGAGAAAATCATCCCAGAACTCCAGTTGTACATAAGTGCAGTAGTGCACGTAGATTACCAGTAATAGAGCTCCCTGAACCACTAGGTGCTACTCCCTATTGGTAAATGACAATCACGACCAGTTTGAAACGATACTACATGACTTATCACAATACCAACAGTCCAGAGTTTACAGGGGAGCAAATGAGTACCCTTTAGGGTATTCTCTGACCCTCTCTAGTACAACTAAATGAACTAAATTTTCATAACTCACATCACTTTTGAAAATTTAGTTCATTTGATTGAACTGAGGAGGGTCACAGGGTACACTTAGAGTCACAAATTTGCATCCTAAAGAGTTTATATATTGTTTAGAAATATCAGAGTAACGCTCGATGATACATCATCCGAGTAGTGCTGCACACAATACAACTTTTGCCATCATTTCCATCTGAATTTCCTATGACGCTTTTTAAAGCAGTGGTAGGTAGCCGCGATACAGAGAGGTTTGATTAAATGGAATGTGTACCAGCACTTCGACGTCGTCGGGCAAATCATCCTCGACGCTGATGCGGGCGCAGAGCTCTATCTCGCTCTCCTTGGGCGGGGGCGGGGGCGGGGGCGCAGGGTCCTGCGGCGGCTCTCGCTTCGCCGCCGCCTGCCCGCGCCGCGCCCTTCGGAAGCCGCGTATGCCAGAAAGGAATCCCGCGAAAGGCTGCGCGAAGCGGGAGCGCTCGGGGGTGGGCGTGAACCCCCGCGAGGAGAGCAGGGAGGCCGTGGACGCCGCCGCGGGGAGGTGCGGGAGGAGCGGCGTGGAGCTGAGCAGCGCCGCGCCGCGGAGGGGCGGGGAGAGATGGAGGTGCGAGCGCGAGGCGAACGGGAGGGCCCGCGATACGATGCGCGCCATGGTCGCGCTCGCGCGGCGGCCGGCGGCGGAGAGATGGAAGACGAGCCGAAAGGGAGGGAGGGGTTTTGTGGTTTCCTTCTTTGGTTTTAGTTTGGCTCTGCTTTGGCTCGTCCGCTTTGTAGCATTTTCGCACCTTGCTGCACGTGGTAGAAGTTTGTGCCTTTGTGGAAGATTTTTTGTGTGTGGCAAAAATGAGTTTATTCCAACATTATAGGGTTACAATCGAGAGGTAGAAATTCATCAATACAAAATGGCCCTCTCTGGAGTCATACAACAATGCTACACTTAATGGTACAACGTGTGTCAATCTGTTACCTTATTTTGATCGTGTCTAATCTTATGTGGAATGACCCCAGTCTAACATCAACGATTTAATCTTAGCAACCAGGTGTTCATAGGTTGAGCGAGCTAACCAGTGCCATATAATGTCGCCAAAGCCTTTGAAGAGTTTGACCGTACGATGTAAAGTATTGCAGAACCAACACCATGCCTTGCATCAATGTGTGAATGTCTGCTTCAAACGCATCATTACGATGGAATAAGAATCGGTAAGCTACGAAATAATACTACAGTCGTGTTTCCTTGGGATCATACCCGCTGTCGCTATCCCATCCTACACGGGAAATGTGTCGTCCATTGACAAGGCAACCTAGTTTATTAATGGTGGGGCCATGATAGAGGGGGGACCAAAATCTTTGACTCCGGTCCCCTAGTGAACTCATCAATGGGGCATCTTTCCTTTTTCTTTTGAACAATCACCAAGGGGGAGAGGGTCCCCACCTGAATATATTACTCGAAGGCCCAAAAGGCGAGTTACACATATAATACATCGATAGGAGATGTATAGTCACAAGACATGACAGCCTCCATACTTACATGGTCCTTAAATACAAAGGTCCAAAGAGTGAAGTCTGAAAAGATGTTTTTGAAGGGTATCTAGGGGCGAGTGTAGCTCGTTGTGAAAGACACGAGCATTCCTGGAGTCTCAAAGCTTTTATAGGATGGCGAGAGCGACGGTAGGCCAAATGTTGATGTCGAGGCCAACCGGCGTTGGCGTATCCTATACGAGGTCAATGGAGAGAGGTGACTGAAGGCCCAAGAGGGACCAAAACTGAGCCGCGCATGGGCAAAGAATGGCGAGGTGTGATGCATCCTCCAGTGTGAGACCATACAAGGGGCAGGAAGAGTCCGGAGAGATGGACTTGTGGAGTAGATTCGCCATCGTGCTCAGCCTGTCACGGCAGAGAAGCCAGCCGAATATCTTAACCTTGATAGGAGCCTTGGGGCTCCAAATGTCCCCGGTGTGGAGGTCGATCTCGTGGTCGGAGGAGAGAAACGAGTAGGTGCACCTCGAGGAGAACGAGGATGAAAGAACATGCGGTGCCCCCATGTTTGGTTTTGGTAATTGATGACAATCTCTAAGGACTAATAGTTGCCTTGAGTTATATTTGAAGGTTTTGTCCATAGGCTTTTCTTAGAATACATGTGTTGGTTTCAAGGAGAGTTTGTGTCGACCAAGGTGCTATTCAAGGAATTACCTAAAAATTGGTCTTGTGAGAGGTCGATCAAGACTAAGTCAAAGAGTGAATCAAGTTGATCAACCCACAGAGCGTAGAAGATGTACCGAGAGGGATCAAGTGATCCCATGGTATGGTAAGCATTGTCAATTACGCTTTGTGTACTAACCCATGGTCTTCGTGAGGGTTCTTTGTGGGGTTAGGTTGCGGTGTGCAAGTTCAAGTGGAGCATCGCGAAGAGATCAAATACTTGAAGCTTGCCGTCCTTTGTGGTGACAATGGACTTGTGAAGATGTGCGGAAGAGTGGCTCACTCATAGTGGAGTATTGGGGGAGCAATCAACTAGTCTTCATCGAGTCAACGCAATCAAGAAAGGTTGCGGTGTGCAAGTTCAAGTGGAGCATCACGAAGAGATCAAATGCTTGAAGCTTGCCGTCCTTTGTGGTGACAATGGACTTGTGAAGATGTGCGGAAGAGTGGCTCACCCATAGTGGACTATGGGGGAGCAATCAACTAGTCTTCATCGAGTCAACACAATCAAGACAGGTAGTTCAACTTGAGGGAGTCAAGATCGTCATCATCTAGCTCAAATGGACCATGTGCAAGGCAAAGGTTTGCCCTTGATAGGTTTTCTATTTTACCGGTCTCATGATGGTAGTTGGGAGACCGGGTTATAGGATCGACTGCCGTACTATCAAGGGGGAGGCTCTCGATGAGTAGCTTGATCGTATCGTTCATTGAGAGCTCAAACCATTGCATCCTTGCATCATCTTTCTTGGTTCTTGTTTGGTTCTCTTTTTGAGTCTTAGAGCTTATGGTCATCTTGATGACAATCTCGAGTTCATCGAAAACGGAGTTCACATGCATCTTCTATGATGTTTTCGATGTTGGAGGTTATGCTCGTTCTTCTCTGTTGGAGGTCTCACTCCTCCATTTGTTAGGCATACCTCCCCTGCCTCTTCTTACTATAACCAGTCGTTGTTTTGATGCTACTCGTCGTCTTGTTTCCAACAAGTTTGAGTTTGCTCAATTCGGAGCTCATATGCAGAAGTTATGGCAGTTCTTGTTTTTTTGAATGTGGTTTTTGTCTGGTCCCAGCGGTAGTATCGCTTGGAGCTCTCAGCCGTAGTACCGCTGTAGTGTCGCTCTTCTACCGCCTCGATTTTGGGTCCTGCTTTTTTCGTGTCGGGTTTAGCAGTAGTTGCATGGCAGTAAGGCACGGTAGTACCGCCTAAGCGGTAGTACCGCTCCGGTCGGGCAGTAGTACCGTTTCTGCTTCACTGCCGCCATACTCTGCTCTGCCTGCCTCTTTTGGTCCCGTGTTCTGCTCCTCCAGCGGTAGCACCGCTGGGGTGAGCGGTAGTACCGCTTATATGCGATACTACCGCCCCAAGGTTCATATTTTGTTGCTCATTTTCCATGTTTCTTCCGCCTGAGCGGTAGTACCGCTCGTGGAGCGGTAGTACCGTTCGTGTGCGAGCTGAGCACATAACGGTTGGATTTTCCCCCTCCTATAAAAGGGGGTCTTCTTCCCCAATGAACCTTATCCTTTAAGCTCGTGTTCTTTCCCCATTGTTGACCTTCTTCGAGCTTGCTAACTCTCAATCCCTCCATGGTTTCTTGCTAGTTTTTGAGGGAAAAGAGAGAGGAGATCTAAATCCACATTTCCACCAATCACTTTCTCCTCTCTGTGAGGGGAACCCCTTGGATCTAGATCTTGGAGTTCTTGGTGTTCTCCTTCTTGTTCTTCCTCTCATTTTCCTCCCTAGCATTAGTTGCTTCGGTGGGATTTGAGAGAGAAGGACTTGGGCACTACTGCCCTTGCCATTGTATTTGGTGCATCGGTTTGAGTTCTCCACGATGATACATGGAAGTGAAGTTTGAGAAGCTTATTACTCTTGGGTGTTTGGGCACCCTAGAGCTTGTTCCTCTTGGGTGCCTTGGCGCCCTGGACGGTTGGTGGTGTTCGGAGCTCAATCATTGTGGTGTAAAGCTCTGGGCAAGCGTCGAGGTCTCCAATTAGGTTGTGGAGATCGCCCCGAGCAATTTGACGGGTACCGGTGACCGCCCCCAAGGGTTGCTAAAGTGTACGGATTCGGTGATCGCCCCCAAGGGTTGCCATTTGTACGGGTTCGGTGACTGCCCTCAAGGGTCCCTTAGTGGAATCACGGCATCTTGCATTGTGCGAGGGCGTGAGGAGATTACGGTGGCCCTAGTGGCTTCTTAGGGAGCATTGTGCCTCCACACCGCTCCAAACAGAGATTAGCATCCGCAAGGGTGTGAACTTCGGGATATATCGTCGTCTCCACGTGCCTCGGTTATCTCTTACCTGAGCCCTTTACTTATGCACTTTATTTTGTGATAGCCATATTGTTTCTTGTCATATATCTTGCTATCACTTATTTGTTTATCTTGCTTAGCATAAGTTGTTGGTGTACATAGGTGAGCCTAGTTGTTGTTGTAGGTTTTGTGCTTGTCAAATTAATCGCTAGGTTTATTCCGCATTTGTTCAAGCCTAAACCGTAATTATTTTAAAGCGCCTTTTCACCCCCCTTCTAGGCGACATCCACGATCTTTCAGAGGAGCCGTGGGTGAGGAAACTATCGTTAGGCGTGTCGCTGATGGTGACATCGTGCAACAAAGACAAAATAGACGCAAGCTCGACAAAAGCAACATTGGTTAGGCAATTCCAAAGTAGCGTGTAAACCAGCAAGCATGACATGAGATACTAGGACAGAGGGGGGGAGTGGAGTGAGAGAAAATGTGGGCATAAGTGTCAATGAGAGGAGTAGGGAGAAGCCAAGGGTCGAGTCAGAAGAAAGGTGGAGGAACCACTATCAGTAAGGGCGAAGGATATTTTTCAAAGGGGACAAAGTTGATCATGTACTTCCTTCATTTTTATTTAGTCCGCGTATTAGGTTTGGTCGACATCAATCTTTGAAAACTTTGACAAAGTTTATAAACAAAAATATTAACCTATACAATAACAAATCAACATCATTAGATTTATTATTGAACGTACTTTCACATCATATAGATTTGTTACGATAAATGTTTATATTGTTTTTTACAAACTTGTTCAAACTTTGCTAAGTTTGACTTCAGTCAAGTCTAATATGCAGAGTAAATAAAAACAGAGGGAGTATAATCTTCCAAAGGAAGGGCGGGTTGATAGCTTTGTTAGCGAACTCAAGAGAGTACTAGAAGAATCAGTTAACCCAAGGCAAGGTAAGTCTGATTTTTTGGGGAAGTTTAAAAGCAAATTTTATGAGGCAATTGTTTTGGAGAATCAGGTTTTTGATGCCTAGACCACCGGTATTTTTAGGCCTGCATACATTTTTCCAGGCAATAAGACATTTTGCGTCGGAGCCCAGAAGAAGGATCTACTAACTGCGGCTAGCATTTTAATGATCTTCTTAGGGAGCCTAAAAATAGACATGAAATGAGTGGCAAGGACATCAAGAGTAACTCTCGCTCCAGGAG